GGGCCCCGCAGCCTAGCCGCACCTGCTGGCCGGGACAAAGGCGCGCCAGGGCCCGGAAGCTCCGCGCCCCTTCCCGCTGGTCGAGGGACAGCTTCAAAGCTGTCAACGTTCCCCTCAGTCCCCGTACCAGTGACAGGTCAGGAAAGTCCTCTTTTTCTTTCGCAACATGGGGCCTCCTTATTCTGTTCTTGTTTCTTGACGGTTCGACAAACTCCTAAGAAATTTTTCTTTCCTTGTGATTTGTTCAAACCGAATGTTTTTCCGTCCGATTTATATTCAGAATAGACGAGATATTTCAGTTTTTCGTCTGCACTACTACAAAGAATTGGGGATTTAAAAACTGCTCTTTGGTTATAAAGTATTTTTCATTTCTTAAAAAGTTTCTTGAGGCAGTTTTGTCGTATACGAAAGTAATTTTGATTTAAGGGGGAAGAAGGTGGCAAAAATATAAAAGTCGTGAGAAATAAATGACAGAGTAGAAATTTTTACAATAATATAGTAGCATATGTTGAAGTAAAACATTTTAACTTCAACTTTTCAAAAATGATTTTAGGGCCAGGAATTGAGCTCAGTCATTCTGCCGCCTGCCTCGCAAGCGCAAGGACCCAAGTTCGAACTCTGGTAACACACACAAAAAAATATTTTAGTGGTTTTCCCTCCGCCCCGTTTAGTAGTACATTTTTCTCCAAATGTGTTTCGGAAGCAATTTGGACTTAATACAAATATTGAAGAGAAATGTAGTTTTTGCTTTGGGAATTGTTAACCATTTGATCATAGTTTAAATCTTAAGATCCAAAACCGAAGATTGGAAAGTATGTTTTTTGTTTGTTTGTTTTTTGGTGCCAGGGATCGAATTCGGGCCCTTGCGCTTGTGAGACAGGTGGTAGAACTAGGGGAAAATATATTTTGAAGCTGTATTTAAGGTTAAAACGGTAGCAAATGTGTGTGGGTCGATAGAAGGGCCTTCACCACTTTGTTGGGATTTAATAGTACACATAATACCTCAAATAATTCTTTACCAAAACCCACAGTGTAATAAATTATATTTATGTGTGTGATAAATTGTTATCAAGCCATTAAACATAAGGAAGAATATTGACAGGAGAATTTTTTCTTAGTTAAAACAGTATACAAAATAGTGTATATGATTTGTTCACATTTATTTAAGAAAGTAGGTAATTAAGGTATGAATAGGAAAAACTGAACTGAAATGATAAAGGGGATCATAGGATATAGGATTACTATGTAAGTGTCCTGTTTGTATGTTTGCCTTTGAGTCTTCTGTTTTCCAAGATTTTTATTTTAAGCATGTGTTACAGTACTGAATTATCCTTGGAAATAAAAGAGAATGCTATAAATTTATATGTTGTCAAAATGTACAATTTGGGTATGAGTCAGTATTCTCCCAGTTACACATTAGTATGTGTTCTTTACTGCTCCTTGTAAATTGTCGTTGGTTATCAGACTTTTGGACTTGTGACTTACACCTGGAATTGAATTACAAAATCTGTTTCTTTGCTTTCTTCCCCACCCCCGCCCTCAGTACTGGTGATTGAGCTCAGAATCTTCACACTGAGTCACATCACCAGGCATTTTTAATTTTTTGAGACAGCGTCTTAAGATGCCCAGGCCAGGGGCTGGGGATTTAGCTCAGCGGTTCGGTGGCCTGCCTTGCGAGCGCAAGGACCCGAGTTCAATCTCCGGTACCAAGAAACAAAACAAAACAAAACAAAAACAAACAAACAAAAAGATGCCCAGGCCAGGCTCAAATTTGCATTCCACTTGCCTCAGCCTCCCAGAGTGCTGGGACAACAGGTAGGCGCTACAGAGCCAGGCCATTGCTCTCCTCCTTGTGATAAAAGAATTATTGAAGGGATTTAAACTCGGGATCTTTCACACCTCCAAGGCAGGTGGCAGAACCATTGAGCTAAGTCCCCGGCCTGGGATGCCTTTTTAAACTACACACGTCAACACTGACATTTATTTTAAAAGTCTCACTTAACTGCAATTTCATTATGTTTATTAAAAAAATTAATTGAGCATCCAGCCTGTATCCAATATTGTTTTATAGGACAAGGCCACAAAAAAATGAAGACTTCTTGTGCACAGGGATCATATAGTCCTAGAGTTGTGCTTTGAAGTTTCAAAGTGATTTCTTGTATATTGTCTCTTCTCACTGTCAAAACAATCCAAAAGGATATGTGTACACTTTCTTGTTCTCAATTTAGAAATGAAACAGACCCTAGGGGGTGTAACTCAGCAGGATGAGAGAGGTGAAAGATTCAGAGCTCCTAATCTTCTGACCTCAGCACATTCCCTTTATTGCCAAATTTGCAAATTACATATTAAAATGTATTCTTTGGATTTAATTTTTTTTCCAGCTTTAATTGAGTTTATTGGTACATTTTAGGGATACAGTAGAGTTACATTCATTGTTGGGAATTTGTACCTCTATATGACATGTCTTGGTGGACTCAAATTTTTTGATAATTCTTACATTTCATCTTTTTCTAATCTTAAAGCAAATTAATGTTTCCAGTAGTTTCGGATAGTGTGTCATCTAAACAACATACTTATACTGGTGATTTACTTTTTTTTTGTCATTTGATTTTCAGTGGATTATTTATAAAAATAATTTTGAACTACCAAAATAGTGGCAGGCTTTTTTAAGAAACCTCACAAAACTTATATGTGATGTCTTCCCAATACAAATAGGAAAGAAATGTTGTCTTTTTCTGAATTATGGGAGGGGAGGGGTTTTCCAGGCTCTGCTCATATGAGCCATTCTTGGTTTGTTCCAGCCTTGCTAATGCTTGGTGTCACATGTGAGCCTCACACATGTGTTCACTCTCCTTTTCAGCTCTGTGATTGAACTCTGCTCTTATTGACTAGGAGGCATTTGGGCAGGCATGCTTCATTCCTGGAATTGACAGTCATCCCATGTGAGTAAAGGGGAACCTCAGTGTGACATCTTTAAGTGTATGAAAGCATTTGGTTTTAAAATGGAGTGGGCATGGTTGATGGCACATGCCTGTAATTTCAGAACTTGGGAGGTTGAGGCAGGAGGATTTCCCCAAGTTTGGGACCAGCCTGGGCTACATAGTGAGTTCAAGGCCACCCTGAACTACATGGCGAGACACTGTCACAAAAATAAATAAAATAGAGGAAATGTCTGGTACTGTTAGTACCTGAGCCTCTGCCCCAGTTTGGTAGGCATGAAGGAACGGATACACCTGTTTTCTGTATTTTTCATATCTTTCTGAGCAGTTTGAATGTTTTCTATCTGTGCTCATTTTTACTTCTTTTGACTCTTCTTTTCGATTTCCGTTTTTTTCTGCCTTCTCTTTCAGTTTTGAATATACTAACACTGAATAAGCCCTTCTAAAGTCCTGCCTTCTCTCACTGGCTTCATTGGCATTCAGTCATAATGAGGAGACTGGCTTTTCGAGGCGCTGGTTGTGCTCTGGTAAAGCTGGTAAATTACTGATTATCTACACCCTTTCCCTTTTCTGTCATTCCTTGCCTTCTCCCTTCCATCTCTTAAATTTTTATTATCCTCTCCATAAAAGGTCCTTCCTGTGTTCATCAAATTCACCTGTGTCCTTGTTTTAGCTTGTTTACAATGGATTGGTCCTTAATTCCTTTAACTTGAATTTTGGCCAATTTGTTAGCTGAACAAATAGTGACAAACTGGGCTATCCTTATTTTAAGCTTTTGGAAGCTTTTAGCCACCTTCACACTGATGTATTACAGCAAACCAAAGCCTAAAGGGGCATCATGATGGTAGATTAGTCTTTTAAACACCCTGTAGACTTTATTTGGAAGATAGATGAGATTCCTCTTACTTCTTAGTTGCTTACCAGGATTTTTTTTTTTTTTTTTTTTTTTTTTTTTATTGCTCCTGTTTTCTGTTTCCTGGAGATCCCCAGTTTTTCTCCTAGCACTATTGGCAGCCAATATTCTACTATTCTTACTCAGTTTTAGTTTCCTGAAAATGAATGTTGATGGCTGAAACTGAAATCCATTTTTTTGTCTAGCTTTAGAAAAAGAATTTTGAAATCAAAATATATTTTTCAGTATTGCTATTGTGTTGCATAAGCCTTGTAGACTTGTTTTTCTTGGTATGGGGGATCAAACTCAGGATCTTACACTTGCCAGGCAGGTGCAGCGGCCACTGAGCTACATCCCCAGCTTATTGCAGACTTTTTGAGTGTATAGCATTTCTCTTTAACTGTAGCAGATGATTTCAGTTGTTCTATTTTTTTTAAGTTATAGTCAAATGCATATATTTATAAAATTGTGCTAAGATTAGTTTCTTAGCAACCAGCCTAAAACTGCTACAAAACAAAACAAAAACAGGTATTTTTATGTTTCTGAACACCCAAGCAGAAACTAAATGGTTCCTTATGAGGTGAGGCATATCATCTAGTTCAGTGGTGGTGAACACGGAAGAAGGCTGTTTGTATCATTGAACACTGAAGGGTTTTACCATCACTGATCTAGTCAGACTTAAAGTTATGATTTTAAAATTTGCAGGTATAGGGACTAGGGATTTAGCTCAGTGGCATGGTGCCTGCCTGTAAGCACAAGGTCCCGAGTTTGATCCCTGGTACCAGAAAAAAAGTTTTTTTGGCAGGTATAGAGCATATCATACAACTGCAAAGGAGGTAGTCTGAATTAATAGACGTTTCAAAGCACTATTTTCCTATTTCTGTCTATGACAAGTTATGATAAGTGTTTTGTAGGTATATCTTGTGGCTCTTGCTTTAATGAGTGTGGAA